AGTAGTGAAGGTACCACGCCGTAGCAGGTGAAATTCTGCCAGGCCGTTTAAAAAGTTTTCTTTGGCTGCTATAATATGCTGCCTGTTTTATATTTCTATTTCGAGACAGGGAAAGGCACCTGTCGCGAATTCGTTTGCGTAACCAGGCCCTCAACCCGCCATCCACCTCCCCGACCGCCAACTGTTCGTCCATCTGGCAAGCCGTCACGTCAGCCACGATCTTGCCGATCTCGGCCTTATGCAACCAAGCCAACAGCCCACCTCCTCGTCGCTGACTGGACCCCCATATCTCACGCGGCAACCTTAACAACAAGCTTCCCGCCACTAATCTCACCCTTGCGCATCCTGTCGAGCGCGCCGTTGACGCTGGCGAGGCCGTGCTCGACGTCGATGATCTCGGGCGGCGCGACGAGGCCGCGGATGAGCAGGCGCTCGAGCCAGGCGGCGAGGGCGTCGCCGACGGCCGGCAGCTCGTGGAACAGCTTGATGGGCACCGTGTGGAAGAGGGTGCCCTCGGGCGGCGGCGGCTTGGGCAAGCCAGTGAGCCCGATCAGGTGCGCCGACAGCAGCGTCGACGCGTGCGGTGTCGCCGGCGGCGTCACGGGCGGTGAGCCGTCGCTGGTGGTGGCGGTGGGGGGTTTTGTTGTGGCAGAGGATGTCGGTAGTGTGCTGGCTAGGTTGCTCGGCGACAATGCTTGTAGTAGGCTCGTCGCCGTGTCGCGGCCGCGCGTGTCGATGCCAAAGCGTACTTGGCCAGGCAGGTTGCCGCGGATGATGGCAACGGCCCGCTCTGGGCTGTGGCTGTCGACGAGCAGGTCGGGCCGGAGGACGGTGTGGTTAGCGAGCCGCAGGCCGTGCTTCGCCTTGTCGACCACGACAACCGTCTTGATTCCCACGAGCCGCGCCAGCTGGATGGTCAGGTTTGCCGACGTCGATGATCCTGTGGTGCGTTGTTAGCTGTGCCCCCGGTTGAGTGGATCTGAGCTTCTCGTACCGCCCCAGATGGCGAGCCAGTCGCCGGCCTTGGCTCGCTCGTGGCTCTGGATGCCGTCAAGGCACTCGCTGCGAATGTCGCTGGCGACGGCCTCGGGATCGACCTGGCGGATTAGGCTGAAGAGATCCGGTCCGTCCAGCGCGCCCGAGAAATCGACGCCCATGCACACGCCTAGCGCTAGGGCGGCGGCCACAAACGCGACGCCTAGCGTCGAGCCCTCTTCTACCGAGAGGCTCGGCGGCAGCCGCACGATGTTGTAGTCGAACGCTACCACGTATTCCTGGTACGCGGCCTTGCGGAGGTCCCGGTAGTCTGTGGATATTACTAGGACCTGGGCGGGGTTTTAGATGCAGGACATGCGAGACGGAAGGCTCGGACAACAACGTTGTACGTACCTTGTCTCTGGATCTGAGCCGCGACGGACGCGTCGACGTCTGGACCACCTCCCCCGCCAGCTCCCTCCCGGATATGTAGGGAAGCTCTGGTAATGCGAAGTTGAAGTCCCTGGACCATCCAGTTAGATGGACACGGCCATGATGGAGCTTCGGGGCATGCACTCACGGTGCCTTCCAGTCAATTGGGTTCAGTCCAATGGCCTGCACCCTCACGAGGACCTCGCGGTCTCCCTGCAGCTGGGGCACCGGGTAGCTGTCGGTCAGCTGGTAGGGCTGCTTGGCGGCGTGCAGCAGCAGCACCGTCTGTGTCTCAGGCGCAGAAAGGGGCTCATCGTCGACTGGGGCGAGGATGTCGACGGGGGACGGCTGGTCTGTGTGAGAGCTCGTGGATGACTTGCGGAGTCTGTGCAACGACATGCGCCGAAAAAAAGAAAGGCCGCTCATGGTGGTGCGAACGTGCGTACTGCGTATATGTGCGTAACACTGGGCCCGATATTGAGGCGGCCTTGAGGTTATAAGCCTGGCAGCGAAACAGGGGGCGAGCGGTCCTGAGTGCGAAGAGGGTGGGTAGTCTGCACTCACTCCAGCAACAAATTTGGCCGGCCGTACGTTCGCTCTTGACGCTCCGGGACGGACGGGGCGGCGGCACCAAATACTACATACATTAGATGTGCTGCAGTGCGGTGCGGTGCGTTGCAGGGCAGGTCGGCTCGTTGCCACATACCCATCCCCACGGGGTTGCCAATTACAAATCAGGCACGCATTGCGCCATCTCGAGCCATTCCGACTCATTGGCCTCTACTGGCCAGCACACGACCCCAGACCCGCAGGAGCACTAAGTGCAGACTACTCACTGCTGCTCAGACGCATCGACATGGCTGCTGGGCCCCCCACCCAGGGGTGTGTCTGGGCCTAGTTCGTATCGGAGATACCGTAGATCCACCGCCCGATCATCGGGGATGGTGTTGGCTTTTATTTCAGTGCGACGCTGCCTCGTCTCTGGACCCGAGTAGCGGGTGCTTGTTCCGCATCGGGGCCTCGAGGGTGGGAAATGCTTGGCGAGGGTCCGGCGTTGATAAGCACATCCCCACGTTAAATCACGCCATCGCCAAACAATCCCCCCCGAGACTCGGACCCGGCAGACCAGCGCTGCGAGCTGCCGACCAGACGGAAAGACTGTGCCGAAGACGAGAGGACCCCGCCGCCGTCAATCCCCTTGCCTATTTGAGGGGGCGGCCTTTGGGTCGTGGCCCGAACCGAACACCGTTCAAACCGTCTACACACCAGCTTCACCCCTGACGGCCATTGCTACCCCCACGCCGAACAAACAAGACAACTGCAGTGCAGCCGCTATCCGGTGACCATGGCGTCTCAAAATGTCAATGGCGAGACACGCCCAAAGAAGCGGCTCATTATCAATGCGTTTGTTGAAATGTGTAAGTGTCGCTCTCCAAGTTTTGTGGCTTGCCTCGGCCGGGCGAGGGTCCGGGATGCATCTTAACGCCGAAAGGCGGCAGACTAATCACGGGCGACCCACGAGCGACCCAATGAAAGCGAGCGACTAATCATCCTTCCGACCCTGCAGGCAGCGGCCACCAGTCGCCCGGACTGTGGCGGCACCCGGAGGACCAGTCGTGGAGATTCAACGACGTCGACCACTGGATCGAGCTGGCGAAGTTCCTAGAGGAGGCCAAGTTCCACGGCATCTTCATCGCCGACGTGCTGGGGGGATACGACGTGTACTCGCAGTCGCTGGATCCCGCCGTCAGATCCGGCGCGCAATGGCCCGTCAACGAGCCGCTGTCTGTCGTGCCCTCCATGGCCGCCACCACAAAGTCGATCGGCTTTGGCGTCACCGTGTCGACCACCTACGAGCAGCCGTACCACTTGGCCCGGAGGCTGTCGACGGTTGATCACCTCACCAAGGGAAGGTGAGTAATTCGCTCTCCGATCGTTGAAACGAGTGTCGCTGACTTTCTCCGCCAGACTTGGATGGAATGTGAGTTGCTGCAACTATTCTGAGTTAGGTCCTTTTAACTAACACGACCAAGATCGTGACAAGTTATCTAGACTCCGCTGCCAAGAACCTCGGACGGTCCGAGCAACTGCCTGTAAGTAGTACCAACTTACCTCGCATCTGGCAACGACTCGCCTGCTAATTGACTGTTGACTACCGCCAGCATGACGACAGATATGCCCAGGCGGAAGAGTACATCAAGGTCATGTACAAGCTCTTCCAGTCGTCGTGGCGGGACGACGCGGTGCAGCTAGACCGCAAGGCGGGCATCTACACGGCGCCGGAGCTGGTGCGGCCCATCAACCACACGGGGCGCTTCTTCACGGTGCCGGGGCCGGCCATCACACAGCCGAGCCCGCAGCGCACGCCGCTGCTCCTGCAGGCGGGCACGTCGCGTGCGGGCAAGGTTTTTGCGGCGCAGCACGCCGAGGCCATCTTCGTGTCAGCGCACGCGCCGCAGGTGTGCGCGAGCAGCATTGCCGAGATCCGGGCGCTGGCGGCCAGCGCGCACGGCCGCGACCCGCGCAGCATCAAGGTGCTCGCGCTGGTGACGCCCATCCTGGGGCGCACCGAGGCCGAGGCGCACGCCAAGCTGGCCGAGTACCGTGAGTACGCGTCGACCGAGGGCGCGCTCGCCCTGTTCGGCGGCTGGACCGGCATCGACCTCGCCGCCTACGGAGACGACGAGGAGCTGCGCGAGGTTGAGAGCAACGCCGTCAAGTCGACCGTCCAGGCCTACGCTCGCTTCATCCCCGCCGGCTCCAAGTGGACCAAGCACACCGTCGCCGAACATGTTAGCATTGGCGGCAACGGGCCGATCCTGGTCGGCACCGCGGAGCAGGTCGCCGACGGGCTCGAGACGTGGGTTGCCGAGGCGGATGTTGATGGGTTCAACTTTGTGAGTTTTTTTTCCCCTCTTCTCTTCACAAGCGAATTGTAGCTAAGTACCGATTTTCACAGGCGTACGCGCTCTTCCCGCAGTCGTTCAAGGACATCATCGAGCTGCTGCTGCCCGAGCTGCGCAAGCGCGGGCTCTTCTGGGACGACTACGCCGTCCCCGGCGGCACGTACCGGGAGAACTTTTATGGTCAGCCCGGTCAAAAGCACCCGCCCACCGAGCACGTCGCGTCGACTTACCAGTGGCGCGCTGGTGTCCCGGCGAGTGAGCACAAGATTCCAGAGTAGATAGGCAAAAGGAAAGAAGAAATGAGAATAGCTGATTCCTCGAATTGGTTGATCTCAATTGACCCCGCGTCTCGCGATGCCATTTGTTGCTCTCTTGGTTGTGCGCTCTCGGTCGTGCCGCTTGCTTGACTGTTTTGTGCGACTGCGAGTTAAGCGACATCAAACCTGCCAAGCTCAGATGAAGAAGGCGATACGAGTGACGATTCCCCCATTTCTCCATATCCTTCGTCCAATGAAAAGGAAGGTGCAACGTGCGAGCAAACGAGATCGGAGAATGAGATCCGCGCCACCCCACCGCACAACTCCAAAAATTAAAGTTAGAGTAGTGAGAAGCACAAGCGAAAAAGAAAAACCCACTAGGTCTCCCGTCTTATCTCTAATTCCCGCACAAAACGCTCGTCAACATCCAGGCAAGATGGCCGAGCGGTCTAAGGCGCCACGTTAAGGAATTTCAAACCCTTAATCTCAGTTATCCGTGGTCCGAAAGGGCGTGGGTTCGAATCCCACTCTTGTCACAATCTTTTGTATTTTTACACTTAACCCCCACACCTAGGTGAATGATGTATCCTTTTTTACTTCTGTTGCTTTGCAGCCCAGGACTTTAGTTATTATAGTAACGTTCTAATTATTGTCCTAACTCATGGGTATTATAGATCCTATATAGGCAAGCGATCTAAAGTAATAATAATACGGTAATTAGATAACTCGCTGGCGCCTCTGTGCGTCAACTGTCAAGAGAGCCCCATTTGCAATTTTCTTCACTGCATCGTGCTGACCCAAGTCGAAGCTGGGATCCAGCCCCCAATTTCCACCATACGCGTCCTGCCTCTGAATTACGGCTCAATCATGCACGCCGGCCACCTGATAAACACACCCATCAAATCCGGCTGAGACTCGCGCGTCCACCCTCCACTTCACAAATGCACATCATCAACCGCCGAGTCCGGCCGCAAGCTACCGTCTAGAAATGGCGCCGAAGCGAATCCATCTCGCCATTAGCCTATGGCTGTTCGCAATGTCAGTCGAGCCCTCACGTCGTTCAAACCGAAGTGCCCGCTCCCCCCTCCCGGCACAGAATTCGTCTCGGGGCCCAATGTTCGGAGCACTTTAAGTAAAGTCTATAATTGCCTCTCAGTCATTCTCCTTTGCACATGAAACATCCAGCACTTGAATATTCCTGCCCTCCGACGTCGCCCCGATGGTTTCCTCCAGAAGATGTGGCGGTGGATTCTTGACTCGAGGACCAAGCTCAAGTGGATGGTCTTCACCGTGTTGTCCCCCGAGTATCTGGTAGGGAAGGCCTTGGGCGAGAGAGTAGCAGTAATATGGACTGAACGAGGGACTTCCATGATTACATCATACAAAAGCGAAATAGCTTATACCCATCCCCATGCACACACTAAGATGAACACAGTTAAATATTTCCTGGGTACAGCAAAATGTCAAACAATCGAGCGGCACAGAAAGAGTCATACCGGCCGACTCACGAACCTTGTTGACCTAGAGACAGTACCACAATCGCAGGTAGATATCGACACAGTTAGGGTAGTTAATGCTGTTTTTAGGGCTGATTTACTATTATATATATGTCGAGAAACACTTCAAAGACGTTATTGTATGCGATATATAGATTGAAGTTGGTCAGGAAAAAAAAGCCAATACCCGACGGAAGCACGAAGCAACAAGTCCCACATGAAAGGTTCTCGGATCCGGCTACAACTGGCGCATCACATGCCGGCCGCTCCTCTCCACACACCCGAACTTTGAATGGCCCGGAGCCGTAGACGTTATTGTATAAAGAAAACGCGATAATTAAATATTTATTTTTTGAGTGGATTGTTTTTATTCTTCCTTAATGAAGTAATTACTCTAGATATATTCAGGTATATTCGTTGGATGGTTGGGTTGGGCGAACCACTTTTGCTAGTGTACTCAGCTTTTGATTCGCTAACCACTAGCGCTGTCATCTTCCACGCTTCAAGAGATCTGGGACATGGGGCTGTCAGGCAGCAGCGCCCGACACTATCCGTCCCCGCATCTCTTCCCCCAACCTTGAACGCCAAAAGTTTGGTGATGGCGGACCCTCTATCTGTCGGGGCGAGTCTCTTGGCCTTTATCGGACTCGCGGACCGCATTATCCGGCTAAGCAAATACTGTATCGATGGGCTCAAAGACGCGCCGAGCGACTTTCGCATGATCCATGGCGAAGTGTCGTCCCTCCGGGCAATTGTTGACGACCTAACAGGAATCGACCAGCTGTCTCTCTTCGCCAAGGGTGGCCCCCTTGAAGCTTGTTACCGCTGTCTCTCTGACCTCGAGGGCCTTCTTCCTACCGACGCGAGCCAGGGTCAGGGTCATCGCCGCCGCCTCACTATTGCCGAGCTTGCTTGGCCGCTGAAACAGAACAAAGCTAGGAAATTACTAGCTGAACTCTCACAGCACAAAGCTACTCTACTCCTGATGATTTCGGGTGACATTATGTGAGCCGCTCATGTTGACGATCAATTGTTAGCACGGATTGCTCATTTCGTTCTATTAGTCACGAGCTGCAAGGTATCAAAACAAGCATCCAAAAGTTGCAAATCGATGTCTCTGGTAACTATGGCTTCTTCACCCCACCCACACCCCCTACTCGCCTGACTAACCTAACCGGCCAAGAATCCGAGCGCCGGGATATTCACACTTGGCTGGAGAGGACAAATCCGTCACGGCTACACAATGCCGCAGTCAGCAAACATGAACCCTACACATGCGCCTGGCTAGCACGGTCCGCCGAGTTGAAATCGTGGATGTCATTAACATCCACCGATCGAATGCTTTGGATCCATGGAATCCCTGGCGCCGGCAAGACAGTTCTGGCATCTTTCGCCATTGAGCACATGAAGCTCTACTGTGAAGGCACTACGAACCAGAAGTACGCCTACTACTACTGCCATTACTCGAACGGCCAAGACGAATCCCTGCCGCTCATAAGCTGGGTTGTTTCCCAGGTATGTCGGCAGTTGAGCTGGGCGCCCTCCCAACTCAAACAGCTCCATGATCGAGGCTGTGAGCCCACACTTTCTGAGCTACAATACGTCCTGGAGCTTGCTCTAGTGCGGCTGGAGAGCCTTTTCATCGTTATAGATGCGGTGGATGAGAGCACACCTCGGGACGAGCTGGTGCGTTTTATTGCTTCTATGGCCCTGGATAGCCGATTCCGAAAGGTCCGTATTCTCGTAACGAGTCGGAAATACTGGGATATTGAGCGCTTCTTTTCTGGGATCTCGACGTCTATATCGATGAAGAACCGATATGTCGATGCCGACATCGAGCGCCACATTCGTTCGAGGCTCAACTCCAGCTTCCGCCTCCAGCGATGGCGTGACTCTTTCCAAGAAATTGAAGATGCGCTGGTGGGAAAGGCCAATGGCATGTAAGTTGAGCCCTAGAGACTTGAATGAGTTTTTCTGACTAAAAGAACAGGTTCCGTTGGGTCGATTGTCAACTCCATAGCATTGAGAGGCTTGGTGATAAGACGAAACTCGTCTCCGTGTTGCAAGACTTGCCCCCAGACCTGAGCGAGACCTATGTCAGAATATTCGACGCTATCCCAGACGCCGATCGGCAATTCGTCTCTCGTGTTCTCCTATGGGTCTACGGCGACTCCAGAGCACCTTGGTCAGTCCGTCGAGCCATCAACGCAAAACTACTACTCGAGGCAGTCACTTTTGACTTGTACGGCAGTGTCCCAGCCGGGGGAAACGGCGTCTTTGACTGGGATTACCTCCAAGATCTCTGCGGCTGTCTCATCACCGTCAAAAACCGAGACCCCCTCACCGATGCCGCCGCTTGCTCCATCACACTTGCCCACTACACCGTCTGGGAGTTCCTCACTTCCTCGCATATCCTTTCGACTCGCGTTTCCCAGTTTGCAGTATCGACACAGGCCGTCTACCGAGATTTTGCCACAAGCGTGCTTCGTCAGGCTCTTTCGGCGGATCCCGAAGGCGAAGGAACGGACTGGCGGCGCGACCGGGACGCATATTGCCTGGTGCTCGGATGTGCCCTGAAATCGGACAGGTACCTCCAAACCCCCGAAGACCTAGAGCTGTACTTTCGCTTCTTGGACCCCTGCAACCCACATTACCGCCGGTTTCGGGCTATCCAGTCCCGGGCTCTTCACAGCCCTTCGGACCGGGCATACCGATTCTCCATTTTGAAGATTCCCGCCGAGTTCCGGGCACCAGAGGGTGCCGGAGAGCGAAACTACATGGCTGAGGTTCTGCTCAACGCTCGCCTACTCAACGATTGGATGCCCGGGGAGCACGCGGCGTACACGACTCATCTACCACCGGTCGGTCGACTGCCGCAACACGAGATCGAAGAGCTTGGAAACCAGCGGGCAGCAGGCATCTTCTTGGGCCTGGATGCAAAGGCGCGTGATCAAGAAATTGGATTTGATGGGAAAGTTTGGGATATCGAAGCTCCTCGTCGAGGAAGTCGAATTATCCAGCACAATTAGTGCAAACGCTGCGAGAGACCGCCAGCGGCGAGCCAACCCAAAAGGAGAGAGAAGAGTGAGTCCGGATGAGAGCCAATCATGAGGTGAGACAGCAACGGTGATCGAAACACAAAGCTTCTACGTCTAAAGTTGCATTACAAGGTTTTGGAACAAGGGGTACATCAAAGAAACCACAACACAAGGCCAGGCGGTTGACTTCCTAATTAATACGCTGCATTATCGCTATTATTCATCACTAGACACTACTGCTCCGGGTATTCTCGTATTACACAATAGGATTAGCTGCCGCCCTGAGAATCGCTGATGAATGTGTTGGCTTTCGAGGGGCTGAATTACAGGTCGGGTTCCCAAACCGGACAGCTGCCAGGTACATATCTATTTCGGCAGAGATCTTCATGCGCATATTCCCCCGCCACTTTCCTCGTGAAAGAGACAAAGCTTCACTTCCTTCCAGTCTACCAGCGAAACGTCTCTCCCCGCACCCCTCCAGCCCCTTCTCCGAATTATTAAGCGTTTCTAGACCAACCACCACTTCCTCACCAAGACACCCTACCTGTTGTGGGGCTTGCGGTTATATAGCTACTGTTGTCTAGAGTGCTAAGTAATAGATATCTGTTTTGCGACTGCTAGCGTAACGGCAAACCGTTACACTACCCCTGCTCATACAAAGCGGCCTTCATCAAAGTTGACTTGGTCCATTGGGCCTATTATTCAAGCGTTTCTTTCTAGCGACAAACACGAATTTCGACGAGACATCAACGTACATATATAAACAGTAGGACGGAGCTAGAGTAATTCATACATTCTATACAATCAGTTCTTGCATGTCATCAAATGTTCGCGAAGTCTTGAGCCTAATGCTTCAAAAATGCGTAACAAAAAACTAGGTAGGTACCTAATTATGGACCAGATCCCAATCGCTGCTCACCCACCCAAAGCGACGAGCGCACCCCTCCGCCAATCACATCTCATTAGCTGCATTATACAGGCCCTCGCAGCTAGATAAAAAGC